AGCCTGAGCCCAGAAGAACTAGATGGTGCTGGCTACCACCACCAACCGCTCTGAGATCACAATACAGGGTCCCTGGCAGAGCGGGAGAAAAATGTAGAACAAAATTCAAATTCACAAAAAAAGACCAGACTTACTGGTCTGATGGTGACTGGAAGAACCCCCAAGACTATGGCCCCTGGTCACTCTGCTAACTCAGAACTGAAGCCACTCCTGAAGTCCATCTTTTAGCCAAAGATTAGACAGGCCTATAAAACAAACAATAATACACGTGAGGAACGTGCGTCTTAGTTCAATCAAGTATACGAGACCAAATGGGCAACACCTGACAAAAAACAGATGCGAAGGTAGGAAGGGACAGAAAAACTGGATGAACACTGAGAACCCAGGGTTGATGGGAAAAGAGTGTTGACACATTGTGGGGATTGCAACTAATGTCATAAAACAATTGGCGTATAAAATTTTTGAATGAAGAACTAATTTGCATTGTGAACTTTACCTAAAACACACACACAGACATACAAAATTCAAACAGGTCAAAGTCCTAAATGTAAGAGTAAAAATTATAACTCTTAGAAGGGAAAACTTCATGACCTTGGGATTCAGCAAAGGATTCTTAGATATGACACCAAGAGTATGAGCAATAACAATAGATAAATTGGACTTCAAAAAAATTAAAAACTTTGTTCCTCCAAGGACACCATCAAGAAAGTAAAAAGACAACCTACATATCGGGAAAAAATATTTGCAAATCATATATCTGATAAAAGACTTGTATCTAGAATAAAGAACTCTTACAACAACTAATAAAAAGACAAAAAACCTGATTCAAAAATGGATAAAAGACCTGAAGAGATATTTCTCCAAAGAAGATATACAAATGGCCAATAAGCAGTGAAAATACCCTGAACATCATTAGTCATCAGGGAAATGCAAATCAAAACCACAATGTGATACCACTTTACTCACTAGGATGGGTAGAATGAAAACGTTGGATAAGTCTTGGTGAGGATGTGAAATCAGAACACTCATGACTGGTGGGAATGTAAAATGCTGCAGCTGCTTTGAAAACAAGTCTGGCAGTTCCTCAAATGATGAGTTACCATATAACCCACTAATTCCATCCCTAGGTGTGATAATTAAGATTGTGTGTCAACTTGGCTGGGCCATGATTCTCCGTGTTTTAATGTAATCACTCCCATGATTGAATATACTGTGAGTAGCCAATCAGATGAAAGGGAGTCTCCTTAGGGGTGCAGCCCACATCTGTATATAAGCAGACGTTCTGGCTTTTTGCTCTCTCTGGATCCTGCGGCTGCTTCCTGTCGTCTCATCTCCCGTTCTTGGGACTTGAGCTGTCAGCTTATCTGCCGAACCTAGGATTCGTCGATCTGCACAGCCTGGGAGTGGGAGCCCTGCTCTCTGACCTTCCGATCTTGGGCTTGCCAGCTTCTGCAGCTGTGTGACTTGGGAGAGGCCTCTACCCTCATCCACGGACTTGGGATGTTCTAGCTTCTACAATCACGTGAGCTGTTTCCTTGATATAATCTCTCCCTCTATATATACACACTTTACTGGTTTTGCTTCTCTAGAGAACCGAGCCTAAGACACTAGGTATATATACCTGAGAGAACTGAAAACATATGTTCACAAACAACTTGTATATGAATGTTTATAGCAGCATTATTCATAACAGCCAATGTCCATCAATGGATGAACAAATTGTGGTATATCCAATACAATGGAATTATTATTCAGTAATAAAAAAGAACGAGGTACTGACATGCTACAACATGGATGAACCTTGAAGTTATGCTAAATGAAAGAAGTCACAAAAGACCACATACTATATGATTCCATTCATACAAGTTTAGGGAACTCTATAGACTGAAAGTAGATTATTAGTTGCTTAGGGCTGAGAGGAGGGAAGTGAGGAAGTAGGGGGTGATAGCTAAAGGGTATAGGGTTTCCTTTTGAAATGATAAAATGTTCTAAAATTGACTGTGGTGATGGTTGCACATATCTGTGAATAAATTAAAAACCACTGAATTGTACACTTTAAATGGGTGAATAGTACAGTGTGTGAATGATGTTTCAATAAAGTTGTTTTAAAAAAGAAATAAAAGGCATACAGATTAGAAAGGATTAAAGAAAAATGTTCCTCTTTGCAGAGAACATGATCATCTACATACAAAATCCAGAAGAATTTACAAACAAAAAACATGAAATAAGGGAGTAACAAGGTCACAGGATACAAGATCAATGTACAAAAATCAATTCTATTTCTATATAATAACAATGAACATATGGACACCAAAATTAAAAATACCATTTACAATCACTCCAAAGAAAATAAAATATTTTGGTATAAGTGTCAGAAAACATGTACAAGATCTGTATGCTGATAATCACAAAACACTGATGAAAGCAATCAAAGACAGCCTAAATGAAGAAGCATACTATATTCATGGATTGGAAAACTCAACAAAGTGAAGGTGTTGATTCTCCCTAAATTGATTTATAGGTCTAATGCAATTCCTATTCAAGGTCAAGTAAGGTTTTCATAAACACAGACAAGCTTACTCTAAAACTGACATGGAAAGAAAAGGAACTAAACTGTAGGGGGCAGTGAGTTTGTTAATGGGGGAAGAACAACTCAGAAAAGGCGGATGAGAATGGTTGTGCAACTCGAATGTAATCAATGTCACTGAATTGTACGTGTAGAACTGCTGAATTGGTGTATGTTTTGCAGTGCATGTTTTCAACAACAAAAATAAAGGCAAACAAACTAGACAAGCTAAAACAATCTTGAAAAAGAATAAAGTATAGAAGGAATCACTATTCACAATATGAATGCCTACCTTACAGTTACTGTAATCAAGACAGTGTGGTAATGACAGAGAAAGACACATGGATCACTGGAACAGATACAGAACCCAGAAACAGTTCCACAGAAATATGCCCAAATGATTTCTGAAGCAAGTCAGTAGAGGAAGGTTAGCCTTTGAACAACTGGATGTCCATAGGCAAAAAATAACCCTCAACCTAAGTCTCATGCCTTATTAAAAAATTAGTTCAAAATGGATCGTGGACTTACATGTAAAACATAAAACTGTAATACTTTTCGAAATAAACATAGGCAAAAACATTTAGGACCTCGGGCTAGGCAATGAGTATTTAGACTTGACACCAAAGGCATGATCCAGACAAGGAAAAACTGATAAACTGGGACTTCATCAAAATTTAAAGCTTTTGCTCTGTGAAAGATCCTGTTAAAGGATGAAAAGACAAGCTACAAACTTGTAGAAAACATTTGCAAATCACGTATCTGATAAATATCCAAAATGTATAAAAAACTTTCCCCCCTGAGACTATAGCCCCTGGACACCCTAACTCAGAACTGAAGCCATTCCTGAAGTCTACCTTTTTGCCAAAGATTAGACAAGCATATAAAATAACACACATTAAGAATGTGCTTTTTAGTTCAATCAAGTGTACAAGATCACATGGGCAACAGCTGCCCAAAATCAAAGAGAAGGCAGGAAGGGACAGGAAAACTGGGTGGACCCAGGAACCCAGGGAGGAAAGGGAAAGGGGGAGAGTGCTGACACACTGTGGGGACTGCAACCAATGTCACAAAACAATTGTGTATAAATTTTTAAATGAGAAACTAATTTGCACCATAAACTTTCACCTACCTAAAGCACGATAAAATTAAAAAAAAAATCAGAACTCAACAGTAAAAAAGCAAACAATCCAACTAGAATATGGGCAAAGACATGAAGAGCATTTCACTCTAGAAAACACAGATGGCCAAAAAGCACATGAAAGATGTTCAACATCATGAGCCATTTCAAACAAAAAAAAACCCCAAACCTGTTGTCATCAAGTCGATTCCAACTCATAGCGACCCTACAGGATAGAGCAGAACTGCCCCATAGGGTTTCCAAAGAACGGCTGGTGGATTTGAACTGCCAACCTTTAGTTTAGCAGCCGTACCTCTTAACCACTTTGCCATCATGGGCCACTAGGGAAATGCAAATTAAAACCACAATGAGGTAACACTACACACCTACAACGGTTTAAAGTGGTTAACACCAAATGCTGACAAGGTTGCAGAGAAACTAGATTCCTCATACATTGCTGGTAGAAAAGTGAAATGGTGCAGCTGCTCTGGAAAAGTCTGGCAGTCTTTAAAAACTAAACACGCCAACTACTGAAGACTTAGCAATACTACGCGGGCATTTATCAGAGAAATAACATGTTCACACAAAAACCTGGACACACATTTCATAGCCAGTAAACTGTGTTACCTCTACCGTGAATGAACTATTGACACATAAACAACTTGGATGAACCTTGAGAATCATGCTTAATGAAAAAAGCCAATTCTAAGAGGTTACATACGTATGATTCCATTTACATAACAATCTTGAAGTGACAAAAATACAGAATGTAGATCAGTGGTAGCCAGGGTAAGGACAAGGGGTGGTGGTGGGAGTAACAAGAGGGATCCTGTGGTGATGGAAATGTTCTGCATCCTGACTTTTATTAACACCAATGTCCTGGCTTGATAAAGGTAGTCCTTGACTTAGGACCAGGCTCCGTTCAGACGATTCCATCATCAGTTCTGACGTAAGTTGAATACCTCATTTTTAAAAAAGTGTTCATTATTGCCTTTTATTATCAGTATCTTTATAAATCCGATCTTTGTCTTTGGGGATTGGCAACATTACATATAAACTTAGATATATTTTAATACATACATACATACAAAAAAATCATAAAAATTTACACCGATCCTAAAGAACAGATGGATGACGTTGGCATTTCATCAGTTGCGGTAATAACTCTACTAGGAAGTAATTTGGATAGGAAGGTTCTGGATCATCTGGATTACCCCTGGGGTTGGGGATGGCATTTCTAGTCAGAAAATTAGCAACAGTTGTCTGTACAGGCCTTTTCTTTTTTTCTTCATATATTTTGCTGTAACATCTCACTGCTTCCTAAATCTGCCTATTGACTTTGGCAAGCTATCAGTGTTTGGGTCCATGTTTTCAAGCAACTGAAGTGCCTAATTTAGTTTAGAAAATTGAATCTATACAGTAGTGTTTTGAACAATAAATCATAAAATTGAACATCTGCAAATGATAACATCAGTAAACATGCTGCAACATAGGATGTACAAATAACAAAAGGACAGTCGTTAAGTTAGGACTACCTGTATTATACTGTAATTTTATTACAACTGGGGTAAACTAGCTAAGGGGCTTGGGGTTATCACTATTATTTCCTAACAACTGCAAGTGAATCTATAATTACACAGCGTTTAATTAAAGTCAGTGGGCTCAGTGAAGAAGATAAGCTTTTATATCCTTAGCATGATATATACAAGGCCCTTCCTGACTGGCCCTGGCCCACCTCTCGTCTCCTGGAACAATGCACTTACTCTAAGAGCCCTGCTGCCCTAGTTCCCAGCACACCTACACTGCTTCTGGCCTCTGCTGTCATCCATGCTGATCCTTCACTCTGGAATGCTCTTCCCACTTGCCTAGGCTCAGTCAGCTCTGGCTGCCCTCTTCTTCCCCACCATCTATGCAAATGAGCAGTGCTGGCTTTACAAGGACCTGTGCATTCTGTTCTTCTCAAACAGCAAGGTTTTAAGCAGAATACAGATTTGCTCTTTCTGAAGGGCCACTCAAACAGTGGAGAATGGCCAGTGACTGGTAGACTGGAAGCTGCACCAGTCACGTCCCCTTTGCTCTCAGCTCCATGCCATTGTTTGTTCTAGTCTGGACTGGAGGCAAATTACAGCTCCTAGACTCCCTTGTCAGCTGCCTTTTAGTGAGTTTCTGCCAAAGGAAACTTTCAATGAGACTGGAAGGTACAAAGAAGAAAACCACCTTTTTCGTCTCAGCGTCTGGGCCCCTCTGGCAGCAGTGGTGGCGAAAGCAAGTGCAGGCCCCAGACTCCTGCCAAGCAGATGGTTCTCACGATGGCATCACAAAGCTCAGGGCTTTGGCTCTGGTAGTAATGAGACAGCTGAGCAGGCACCCGTCTTCTCCTATCCCAGAGCCAGTGCGTCCAAAACACCCAGCCCTCATACCTTCTGTCACCACAGGTCAAGGTCCATACCACTTACCCCACAATGAGACAACTGACGGGAAGGAGCCCTGAAGACAACTGTGATTCGGTGACCACACCACGATCAGAACTCCAGGCCAACCACTGAAAACCCCTCTGCTTCCTGGGGAAGGTCTCACCCCCGCCTACTGGGGCTGACCAAAGGCCACTCAGCAGCAGGCCAGCCATGCCTGCACATACATAAGGCGGCAGCAGCAACTGCACCAACTTAGCTTGGGAGGGTCACCCTGTGGGTGGCAGAAAGCTAGGGAAGTAGGTGCAGCTGGGGCAGGCTGGAGTGATTTGGAGCCAGGGAGACAATTTGGTTTGAGCCCTAGTTTTTATGTCCCTAAAGTCTTGTGCTTCGCTTTCCCTTGCAGGGCTCCTGGCCTCTACCTCGAACAGGTTCTACTGCTGGAGACAGAGGCTGAGTGCACAGGGCAGAGCCATGGACACCATTCCCTGCCCTTCAGAACACACAGAGGTGGAAGCACAAACGGGACACTGTGACAACACCCGGGAAGCCTTGGTGCTGAGCACCAAAATTAAAGATTTATTATCCACTTGAGGAAAATCCACCCCTCACAGCTGCTGGCCACCACTCCCACTTTTGGCCAAGGTCTTGCACTATGAAGACTCAGCCTGAAGGGAGACACCTCTTCCCTGGGGGCCCAGTGCCCACAGCTAGGCCTCTGCGGAGTAGTCAGGCCCTGGGCATGCAGTCCACGCTTAGGGGACGTCACTTGGCCAGTTCTTCTGCCACAGCTTTGCGCATCTTGTCCTTGAGGTAGGCGCCTTTCTGCCATTCAGACTTGAGTTCCAGCCACTCGTAGTAAGGAACCTGGTATGGAGACAGGTCAGGGTAGGCTGGGGCTCCCCGTGCCCTGTCAGGGGCCCCACCTGCTGCTCTCCCTCTGAACCCTCCCCAGTCAGTGCTTGTTGAGAGACTGCATCCGAGTCCTTTGGCCTCCAAGTCCCAGATGAAGAGGAATACTGAGCTGTGGGAACTGTCTGGTGGGGAAGAGCCCGGCTTTGCCAGTACTAGAAGGGGCCTGAAAGCACACAGGCTGGGGTCAGCAAACCACACAGGGCCCAAGGATGGTTTCTGAATTTTTACAAGTTGTAAACAAACAAAAATAATCCAACGTTATTTGAAAATGTGGTAGAAAACGTGATAGAAACCTTATGTGACCCTTTACAGAAATCTGCCAACTCTGGTCTAGGGCAACCAATGAAGGGAGACGTGATCACTCCAAGATGCACTAGCACATTACTTAGGACTGAGACAGACCTAAGTCAGATGCTAGCCCCACAGTCCTAGTCCTGGATCAGACCACAACAAGGAGTTCTGTGCTGGCCACACGGAGGGGTGCCCAGGTGGGCGTCTGGGCAGCCTCACCTTTCCCAGGAGTCCTGGGCACGGCGACAGATGAGCTGGACTTGAACCCCCATTCTATTATTTAAGAGCTGTGTGACCTCGGGAAAAGCACACCACTCTTCCAACCTTTACTCACCCGTCTGTAAACGGGGAGCCTCCACACTGCCTACCTCAGAAGGCAGACCTCAGAATACAGCTACAGTCTGAGCACTGTCCTGACCAACACCTCGGGAAGAGGAAAGCTGATGGCCTGGCTTATGCTCGAGGCCCAGGCTGGCGGAGGAGGGGGTGAGGTGGGAAAGTGGCCAAAGAGACAGGCACAACCACTAGCTACAGGAGACTATCACCCCCAGGCTCTGGCATGGGGCGGGGAGCTGGGGCTACAGGCTGTGTATCTGTCGGTGCCCTCTGGGCCCTTTGCCCGGTATGCAGTCAGTGCTCACCCAGGCCCTGCCCAGCCCAGTACTCACATCAACAACCAGGAAGCCAGCAGCCAGCACATGGCGCCGAGCCAGGAAGAAGCGACCCAGCAAGTCCTTGCTCCGGCTGTTGAAGTTGGGAAATTCCCACCGTAGGAAAGCCAGCCTGCGAGGAGGAGGAAGGAGCTGACGGTCTACTCTCCCTGCCCCCTCAGAGGGGAGCAGTCTGCAGGGCCTCAAGAGCTGCTATGGCCCTCACAGGGGCTACACCCAGTGGATCCTGGCCACCTACCTCTTGGCTCCAGGGGGCAGCGGCCGGCTCCCGGTTGCCTGGGCAAGATGAGGAGCAACAAAGTCCCTCAGGTTCAGAAACTGTCCCTCAGTATCCAGTAGCACCTCTGCATCTGGTGAAGGGGTGTGGGGAATAAAACCCACTGGGTGACATCCTCTGGAGACTGGCTGGGCTGAAAGCCCTCCCCACCCTCCATGGGCAGGCAGAGACGAGGGAAACCCGATGTGCTCAAGAGCACACCATCAGTAGAAGACCCAGAGTCACCTGGCCTGGGAGTGCCCAGGAAGAGAGAACAAATGACCCTGTGACATCTACCCTGCTGTCTGCAGCAAGACAGGAAGAAGTGAGGGGCCCCAGGCTAAAGCTCTAGCCACTTGGGACCAGTCCCTGCTGCAGAGGAGGGCAGGGACCAGAGCGGATCTAGAGCAGGGCCTGGGAGTCTTAGGGAGAATCAGTCCCTACACCAACCAGGAGGGAGTCCTTACCCAGCACCCAGCCATACTGTGTGGTCACCGCAAAGCAGCCCTTGTTGGCACTCCCCAGCAGCCCCTTTAGGGTCTCCTGCAGCTCCTTCTGCAAAGGGGTCACCTTCTTGTCAAGGGCTGTGGGCCTAGGGACCAAAGCCAAAGCTGGCAGAAGGGGGCCTGTATAGTCGGGGTGCTCCAGCAGGGCAGTGGCATTGATGTGCAGCAGCTTCTGCAAGGTGCTCTCATCTTTCGGAGACTTACCACCTAAGGGGCCAGATGAGAGCAAGAGGAAGGGAAATGGCAGAGATTTCAGTTGCCTACCCTGGCCGCTGCTCTTCCAGGGGCCTGGGGGGCAGAGGTGGAGGAAGGCTCATGTGGGAGAGACAGTGGCACTCCCACGCCCAAGCCCCACCCTGGATTTGGGATGGGTAAGTAGCGTCGGCTGCAGGGAGTGCGTGGGGAAGGGAATAAATGCCGAAGGGGAGCCCTGGCCTTCTCCCGCATCTCTATCAGAAGAACCTGACAGCTCCTCTTTCTTGTGATATTGGGGGCAGTATGGGCTCACATCACTAAGGGAGGCCGGCTATGCCCCCACGCTCCCAGATAGGCCCCATCCATGACTCACCTAGAAACTGGGTGTGGAAGTCGGAGGAGAGGACGGCTCGCAGCTCTGCCTCCTGCACCTGCTGCAGCACACACAGGGCCCACACTACATCCACCTGCAGAGCTGGGCTCAGATCTGCCAGCTCTGACATCAGCTTCTCGTGCACCTGGGACAAGGACATGGTGATGGCAGAGAAAGCAGGCTCTGCTCAGTCGCCTGTAAATGTCCCTGGGCAGATCACAGCCAATGCTGCCTCACAACTGGTTATATGGATGCCAGGGGGCTGGAGGTTAGCCGAGGGAGAGGGAGCACCCTGGCGTGGGAGGTAGGAGAAGTCTTCCCCATCCCCATGGAGCAGTGGATCCCTTCCCAATCCAGACAGCAGGGCAGTACTGTCTGATGCTGGCACTTAGCTAGGCTTTCCCTACCCCTTCCCCAGTAGGGCCCTGAGTCACAAAACCACTTCTTCATAACTTCCCCTAAGTGGGTGCCTGGGACAAGGGAGGAGTGTGCTTCTGGCAGTCTCTGAGAGAAATGAGAGCTTAGCAAGAAGCAGCAGATGGTGAAGAGTGCTGGCCAGATGCAGGCAGGTGGGCCTGGGGCCACCCAGGGTGGTGCATCCTCTGCTGGCTGCTCCTGGGAACTGCGCCAGACAAGCTCTCCTTGGGGCCTGCTGTCTGGTCTCCAAAAGAGACTCTAGGGTCAAATATGATCTGACTCTGCACACGACCCTTCAATTTTCATAAAGAGTGCTCTTCCTCAAGGGGCATGTATACCACTTGAGATCCTCCCAGCTCATCTCTGAAGTGGACTGTGAAGGCTTTAAAGCATGAACACGATGTTAAAATAAGACAACAGGTACTCCAACCCCGACCAGCCCAATGCTCCCTCACAGGCAGACCTGCCCTTTCTGACCCACCACTACTCTCAACCTATACAGCTGCTGGTATGTCTGGATTTCTGCATGGGGGCTCTGAAGACCCTGCTTTTTTTTGTCCCCAACAATCCCGTGGATGCCCTGGTCCCAGCCAATGCTGCCCTTGCCCCACCCCCTGCACCAGATGCTTCTCATTTTCCTGCCTCTGCCTCCACGGCTCCTCTGCCAGAACCCTCTGCCTCTTTTCCTCTCTTCCACCAAGCTGCCCTTGAAGGGCTGAGCCATTAGCTGGCAGGGAGGAAGGTAAGGAACGGGGAAAGGGAAGCACAGACCGTACCACGCTGAAGAATCGATCTTCTTGTTCTGGATGGAAGTTCAGACGGGCAAAAGCCAGGACCACGTTGCACAGATGCTGCAGGGTGATGTCCTGGGCTGTGTTCAGGATGTGCTGGGGCCAGAGTCAGGGAAGGCAGGGGAGTGAGAACATGGCTCCATGATGAGGGCTCTGCCTCACACGCTTTCCGCCCAGCTCCAAGATGGAGGGGTCTGGGAAGGCTGTCAGGACCTGGACCCTCCCACCAGGCCCCACATGCCCCTAGGCAGAAGGGCAATTTATGCCGAGTCAGGGGGATGCATGCCACACCTGTCCAGCACTTAGTCTTTGCCCTGAGGGGCCCTAGGAGCTGTCTCCCCATGAGCACCATCAGCAACGCACTGAACATGGCTGAGCAGGCACCCCTTTCTGCACAACTCCCCAGAGGCGGTTACTTTCAGGAGAGGCTGTTCTGAGGAACAGAGGAAGGGGACTCTCAGCCTCAATGCCTGTGCTCTGTCACACCCAGGCCTTCCAGACCCCGTCCAGACAGTGTCCAACAGCTGCTGTCACCTGCTACAATGACCGTTTATGATGTTCAGTAAGATAATGGAAGAAACATTTATCAAATACATTTTTGTCACTACTGAATGCAAGCATTGAACACCTTTCTAAATATACAAAGAAGACATATATTTGCCACAACTGAGCATTTTCAGACTAGTTTTGTTCCCCTAATTAAAATTATGGCTTGAAACAAAACCCGACTGACGGGGGGGTCAGGTGTGGAGAGGCCCTCAGATCATGCGTCCTCACCAGTCCAGAGCCCAGGCCTCCTGTGAGGCCCCAACTCACCTGGGCAAAGGCTTCAAACAGGGGCAGGTTAAGCCACTTGAGGAGGGCCAAGGACTTGGCGCAGCGGGCCACCTCACTGGGTGTCAGGCTGGGCATGTGGGACAGCAGATCGGCTGCCAGCCGCTGGAATACCTGGGTCTGGTGGAAGTTGAGTTTGCCTTTAGGACAGAGCAGACCACAACATTTTACCTGGCGAGGGCAACAGGCTCACCGGTCTACCCCACCTCCTTACCACATGCCACTTTCTCCTCAAGGTCTAGAAGCTTGGTGTCTGTAACAAAATTTATCCCTGAGGCCCAGGAGAGAGGAACAGGGCCCATGAGTTACAGTGTTTCTGTGGCAGCCTTTTGGCCAGTGCCTGCCATGGGTGGGGCGGGCACTGAATCTGACACAGCTGCAGGCATCAGTCAGCCCAGCCAAATATGGCAGGAACCACCCCCTCCGACCCACACACAAAGGGCTCACCATAGGCATAGGCCAGGTCCATGAGGGTGCCTTTCGTCAAGGTAAAGGGTTTCTGGACCAGGTGATAGGAGATGGCCCGCAGCAAGGGCACTGACCGACGATTCTGTGCTGCCAGAGTCAACAGCACCTTTCGCAGATCATCAGGGCCAAACTGTTCCACCAGCTCCAGGCACTGTCAACCACAGCCACGTATGCAGGGAGTCAGCTTGATGGCCTGAGATGCCAGGGAGGAGCTGGGGGCAAGGGTCCCATCCAGTGTAGCCCCTGCGAGACAGCAACTGGGCCTGAGCTTACTCAACACAGGCCCTGTCTGTGCAAGGCCTGCCTCTTACCCACACCCCAGGGAGCTCCTGTACCTAGGGCACAGTGTCTGTAGCCAACTGATCCCCAGGCCCCAGGACAGGGGATCGGGGGCCTATGAGCTACTATGGCAAAGCTTGCTGTTGCAGCCATCTGAGCCAGCCCCTGCTACGACAGGAGTAGGTGCTGAATTTGACTTGACTGCAGGGGCTGAAGCTTGGGGTGGCGGGGTGCCCCACAATGGTCTCCGGGAAAGTTTTAACCAGAACCCAAGCAATCCTAGGTCCAGGCCTGGCCAATACCTTTTTGTGTTACTTCAGGAGTGGTCTGCCATCCCCACCTCCCAAGACTGCTGGGAGGGCCAAATTAGGGTACAAGCATGAAGGGACTTTGGAGAAAGACAAACTCCATTCTCTAACAGGAGGCCTCATCCAGGGAAGAAGCCTGGGTTGAGGCTCCGGTATGTGCTAGAGAGAACAAAGTCCCCAGAGAGGCAGAGTTCAGGCTGTGTCCACCAGCGCTCTTCAAGGACCTTAGAAGAGTAAGCGGGCAGGTGATGGACGGAGGTGATCCCTACTGCTGCCTGCAGCCCTTGGTACCTCCTCTTCAGCATAGTTCTCCAGAGAGGACAGAACACCCTCACCAGTTCCAGCTTAGTTTCTAAACAAGGGTAACCCTGCTGGTACCTGCAGGGACAGTGTTTCCAGGCCTCACAGAGCATCTAAGGCTCCTGCCCAGCGGACAGGACAGGCTCAGACCCACATTCCCTTCGCCAGAGGCTTGTCACCCAGGGAAACAAGTTCCAGAGCTCAGAGATGTGGGTGTGTGTGTGGCAGGGGGACAGGGTAAGCCCCACTTGCTTCAGCCTAGTACCTTGTCTTCCAGACGGTTCATCAGTGGCTCTGAGAGGTGGCCCACTTTCATCATGATGGCCACCACTGTGCGGCCATCTTCAATTTCGGTCCAGCGCCTCTCCAGGTGCACAAGCAGCTCGGCCAGCAGCTCCTGCGAGTCCTGCTCCTGCATATAGGTGGTGCTGGACTCGGCCAGGAAGGCCAGGTGCTTGTACTTGAGCCGCCGCATTCGCCAGCGGACCTCCTGCTCTACCGACCGCAGCTCCTTGCAGGTCTTAGGGAGTGCCAGTGCATAGAGGCTCCGGAGCAGCTTCACCAGGGTCCCGTGCCAGATGGAAGTTATCTGGATGAGAAAAGGGCACAGGGTTAAGAGTCAAACTTGTGACCACACGTGATACTGTTCATTACACAGCAGGAAGTGTGCTGGAAACTGCCTCTCTGACCCTATTTCACAGACACTCATCAACACGGACCAGAGAAGAGTTAGTGCCTCTGTTCTGTTATTTTCATGCAGACACTTCTCATAGGGGCCCCACATCAGGCTGGCTGGTGGAGAGACCCTTTCTCACAGCCTCTCTGTGGGGCTCCTTTCTGAGCCAGGTTCTCCAGCCTCCAATAAATCCTATTTCTGCTCAAGTTAGCCAAAGTCACTTGCTATTGCTTACAACCAAGGACTCTGAATGAGCAGACTCTAGACTTCCCAAAACACGAATCTGACCTAATGTGACTGTTAAACAGAGACCACAATCTCCATGATGTGGACTGTGCCACAAGAGGCAGGGGGACAGACAGGGTGCTTTGGGCAGGTCTGCACTGCTGACTTCTGTCTACCTGGCACTCAAAGACCTGCGCTGCAAACACGACTGGACGGTCAAGGCTACAAGTCAGAGAAAAGCAGCTTGGGGGAGTGTGAACGCAGTGCTACATAAGGCAGCAGTTAGGCTTTTTAAGTCAGCTGGTCATCCAATGTATTACCTTTGCTTGCAACGACAAAATTTTTTTTTAACTTTTTCTCAGGAAAATAACTGGGTTATTTTGAGTCTGAGAAGCTCTTTTTCTGCAACAGAACAATTGTAACACAGTTTCTGGTAATGTGAGGTTTCTTAAGACTGCACCTGTTTCATTAAAATAGAAAGGTTGACATTTCTGTAGAGCAAGCCTAGGATCAAGCACGCTACAGCTAAACACTCCCTCTACCGTGTGTGCTTGAAGAAAGCCAGCTTGCAGAATACTGGTCAAAGGATGCAGAAGAGGCCAGCTTTGCCACCACGTGGGAATACTGGCAGGAAAACCCTCTGGTATGTCACACAGTAGTGGGCGAAAAAGATCCCTCGCTATCACCAAACTCCCAGTCATCCTGGGTATGAGCAAGCTGGCCAGCTGCCTGCTGCTGTCCTCACCACCACCACTTCTAAATGGGCTCTTACTAAAAGCTAGGCATACATCTAAGCACTTACATGTAGCACACACCAACATCCATGCAGAAGTATCACCCCCACTTCACATACACAGAAGCAAAGGTTTAGCAAGGTTAAGTAATTTCCCCAAGGTCTCAGTAGGTGACAGAACCAGAATCTGTACCAGGCAGTCCAAAACTAGTGCCTAGTCTTACCCGTTGCAAGACAGCTCCTCCCTCCCCCACTGGTTCCAGCTTGGTTTCTAAACAATGGTGACCCTGCTGGTACCTGCAGGGACAGTGTCTCCAGGCCTCAGAGAAATACAGGCCCATGATGTCAACAGCCACCCCAGAAGCCTTATGACCCAGACCCCACCCACAAGGCACACGAGTTGGAATCAGAACATCTGAGGTTGTGTGCTAGCTGTGTCACACTGTGTAAGTCTCTGAACTCTGCCACTACTGGTGGCATTAAATCTCTTCACAGCTCAGTCTTGACTTCTTCATCTGTGAACTGGAACTGTTGCAAGGGAGGCGGAAACAACGTGCACAAAAAGTCAGCCGTCAACAGTAAAGTTGTTGTTTTAAGGGTTGGGGAGGAAGAGGAAAAGCGCTGAATTTAACACATCTCAACATCACGGGTTATGGTATTTTCTATACTAGTCTATCTCATTAAGAAGCAAAACCAAAATGTGACCAGGTCCCACTACACTGACCGTAACCTCAGTTAGAAAAACACTGACTTAGTATAACCCCTTATTTGATTCATGAATCCCCTCCTCAGCCTCCCTGAAAACCGGACACATGGCTTCAATGCTTGAGCCCCATGGTAACAGGAAGCTCACCACCACCTTCCAATGTGCACCATGTGGGTAAGGGCCAATGCTACCAGAGCAGGGCTTCCTAACTCCTTTGTGCCATGGGCCCCTCTGAGAGCCTAGCAAGCCTACGGAGCCCAGGGGAAGAACCTGCATGAAGAGAGTCCTTCCTCACACTAAGCAGGAACACAGTGCCACACAAGCAGACTTCCGCTCTTCTCTAGGGTCACCCTTTATGTATCTGATCATGGCTCCATAACTCCCTCCCCCAACTCAATTTCAGGGATCCTCCATCAGGCCCTCCTCTGCCTCTACTCTAGCTTTGAGCAGTGCCTAGCCCTCACTGGATATTTGAGAGGGATCAGTACAAGTTAAGACTATCGAATACCATTTTACAGACACGTCTCCTCATGGATACCTGTTGACGTTTTTTTCACAAGTCACACTTCTCATATATGTGAAGATTTTCAAATTCAAGTGCACGACCTTGTATTACTTTCCAAACCAGCTATGATGAGGTGAAAAAGCACCAAGTGAACAGAGAAGAACCAGATTTGCTTCCTGGTGCCCTGTTTACCATGTAAATTTAAGTCTTGGTTCCCCTGTCCATAAGATAAGGATAGCAGTATTTACCTAACAGGCTGTTGCGAGGATTAACAAAGAGAAAATACATGAAACTACTTTAAAATCTATAAAATGATAAATAAAAAATGTTACAGGGATTGTAGGACTTCTAATCATAAGAGAGGCCCTGTCTACCTCCAGTAAGTGAGTGGTTTCTTTGGACTCCAGTGCCTCTGACAGTTTACCTCTTGTCAAAGTCCTCAGACAACACTTTAGAACTCACCTGACTGTTGGCAAGATGGAGAAGCTGCTGAAAGCGGGCATCCTGTGTCAAAGAGGCTTTGTTCTCTGGCTTCTCAGAGAGCAGGCGAGAGAGCTGGATGAGGATGTGGGCAGCATGGTTCTGGTGCAAGGAGTGACCACCACCAATTAGCTCTAATAGCTCCTCCGGCCTGGTGGCCTTTTCAATGAGCCAGTCCACCTCCTGGCGCCCTGGGTAGGGAGTAAACACTGGTTCCCTCTCCACAAGCTCTGTCAAGGAAGCTGGGAAGTGGGAACTGGGTGAGGTAGCTGAGGAAGTCAGAGTCCTATGGGCTACTCTAGCGAGTCTCAGTCGGCCAGCTGGAGACATGGCAGGGACTACACAGGTGGCCTCTCTCAGGAGGCACGTGCACCGCTTTACCAGGTGAGCTGCCATGGTGGCCACTGGGTGGCAAGGAGGTAAGACTCCTAGTAAGTGATTCCGAAGTCCTGAAGAGAAAAAGGAGAGAAGGGTGTGGTGCAGGGGCAGTTCCCAATTCACAAACTTAGGAAAGAAACATGACAAATGAGATGCAGTCACAGCCAGTCTCTCCATAAAACCAGCCCAGATCTCTTTTTGACTATTCACATGTATGTGACAGTATTTTCTGAACCTATCTCGATAGGATCTTTGAATCACTACAGCATACAATCAAATATCAAAACTCAGAAGCACTATAGCTTGGGTTAGAGATTCTCAGGCCTAGTCGTGCTTCAAAATCATCTAGGGAGTGGTTCAACAATTCAGATTCCTGGGCCCAAAGACCTACTGTATGGGAATCTCTGCAGCAAGGGCTCAAGCAGTTATCAATTTTTTTTATTTCAATGGTAACCAGGATTAAGAATCACTGGCATACAGAGAAAATGGGACATGAGTCTGGAAATCAGGCTGATCCTGGAAAACCCAGGACATGTAATTCATATTCCTGGTGCTTCTTTGGATATATTTTAACACCTGAAGACACAGGAGTGAGCTTCTAAAAACCAAAGCTAGATTACACTACCAATTTACTTAAAAAACAAAACAAAACAAAACAAAAACCTCGAGCAAAACTCCTGAACCAGTCATAAAAGGCACTTCACAATATGGCCCAGGATTATCCTCCCAGTTTTATTCTCTTCCTCGCCAACACACTGCTTATTCTAAATAAGTTCTGCACTTTCATTACACCTTTGCAGTATCTGCTGTCTGACTGTTTTTTTCCTCCTATCACAGGGCCTGGCAAAACACCATTCAAATGTTACCTCCTCTAAGAACCCTCTCCGAAATTCTTTTCTCTGCATGTTACATATCCCTAAGGTGTTTTTAATACTGTCATCTGCCAGTCTTGCCCACTAAGGTCATCGAATGACTTAGGTAAGGCAAGTGGCATGGGCAAGATAAACGTTAACGTAGACTTGCTTTCTTGCATATTTTATTTTCCTGGAATTTTTAAGTGGCTGATTATTGCAGCTGTAAAAAAGCTTAGTCTAACTCTACATAAAGAAAAAAATGAGGCTCAGAGAGAAGGAATATTTGCCCAAGAACAATAGCTACTACTTACTGAGTTCAGGTACAATGGGAAACACTCAAAAATGTTTCCAATTGTGAAAGACAAAAAAAAAAAAAAAAAAAACTGGCTGAACTGGCGCGTATTCTGCTGTGCATATTCTCAATAACAAAAATAAATTATATTAAAAAAAAAAGACATCTTACTTTGATTTCAAGGGGTTTTTCTTACTCACGAAACCAAAAATTAACTGTAAAAAAAAACGCCTGACCCAAACTGCAAAGTATTGACTTTTTTCTCCCATCATAAACTGCTCTGCAGCATAGTAAATTTGTCTTTTTCGGCTAGAAAATGGAAGTCAGTAACAAATCCATTACCTCCTGATTTAATTTAAAAAAGACCGTGAACTTCCTTGATTTGAATTTCAAGGTCTCACAGCTACAAATGGGTCAAGGGCCAAATTTTCAGCAGTTACTTTATAATGTAAACTAAAAAAAAACCAACCCCAAACTCACAGCCGTTGAGTTGATTCCAGCTCATAATGACCCCACTGGGTTTCCAAGGCTGTAAATCTTTATGGAAGCAGACTGCCATTGCCACATTTTCTCTGGGGAACGCCAGTGGTTTCGAACCGCCTTCACTTGGCAGTTCAACGCTTTAACTACTGCGCCACCAGGGCTCCTTTAATGTTAACTCAGTAACCATTAACTACTTATCACCGTGGAAACTTGCATTCATTAAAAAAAAAAAAAAAATACATAAGCTTCTGTGAAATCTGCAATCCTCAGAGCGTTCTTTTTCATTTCCTTCATGTACGGAGACTCAAAAGCTCCCCAACCTGCAAACTATTCATTATTATAATCATAAAACCATAAAACGTATTACCGTTCTGCGTTAAAGGTTTTTTTTTTTTTCTTTTAAGCAATTTTAACTAGCCTACTTTGAGCTACTTGTTTTTAGAAACAAACTGATCTCCCTACATGCATACAGAATGACTGCTCGGAATAAACCTTACGTTTCAATTTCTTTGAGTATTGATTATTTCTAACATGATCGAATACAATCCCACGAGCTAGGGATTACACTCGCAATTGACAGAGGAGAAAACGGAGGTCCTCAGTTAAACTCTGGCTTAGGTCAAATACCAACCCTCTTTAAAGCACCTAGATAACGACCTTTACGAAGAAACAAAATTCACCTCACTGGGAACATCGGGAAAGCTCAAGGGCACCGGGGAAAGCCGCCACGCGGAAACGCGGAGGGAAAGCGCGTGCGCACTAGCGAGAGCTCGGAACCCGGACAGCGCGGGCCGCAGAGCCCAGGCCCAGAGCCCCCCCTCCAACACCGCGCCTCCCTCATCCCACCGCTCCTCCCCAGCCTTCCTTCTCTGCCCTGACTTCGTGCCTTCAGGACCCATTCTCACCCTCATTCTTCCCCTGCCACGACACCTACGCCGCCCAGAGAATCCCCACACCTGACCTCCATCAGTCGCCCGTGCTGTCCCTCGCACACGATGCGCGGCTCGCTCGCTACGTCACTCGAAGCGACGAACGGAAGCGACGCTAGCCCGTCACCGCCTGGCCGGAAGCCACGCCCACTGCCCTTTTGCTGGGCAAAATTTGCGAAGTGAGAAGAGTGGTGAGAAATGGATGATGGGGGAACTTAATAAAAATAAGAAGGGAAAAGAAAGCGAAAAACCTTGGCCGCCTTCCGTCAGTATTCCAAGGGTCCTCATATGGAGCATGGAAGTCGACCCTTTGTTGTTAATGGGTACTTCTCCTCTTCCTCCACTCTTCCTTTTTACCCTTGCCACCTCTTTACCCTCCCTTCCCACATTCCTGGGTGTCTCATTTGTTTTTGCCGAAGATCTTAGATGAGCTCAGGGGGCTGTCTGAAAACTGGGGCCAGAGGTGTGGATGGGGACGATATCCCAGACGGTTGGGCCTGTTAGGGCAGAGTCTTTGACCGTTTGGGAAGCTAAGTGGAGACTGGAGAGCTAAAAGCACAGGTTTGCATCACCAGCTGGTTTTCTGGGTACGATTTGCCCAGGTCTTGCAAATAAAAAAATCTAGAAATCTGGATTTTTATGTACAATTTGATTTTTAAATTTTGGCGTTTAATTACAAAATAGTGAAGTGCGGGGTGAGACAAACAAAACATGTGAAGGCTCTATATGGACGTGTGAGGCATTGGTGGTTCAGTAGTAGAATTCTCGCCTGTGCGGGAGACCCAGGTTCTATTCCCTGTGTCCTAGAGTAAAAATCACCGTTAAGTTACAGTAAAGCAAAAAGAATGATTTTATTTGGCATATGTTCAAACAGGCAAAAGCGGGAAACAGACAAGCATGCTGCCAGAGCCATGTTTGCCCAAGTCCAAGGAATACTCAGAATCATCAGCATGTATTAACATTACATATGGGTAAAACCATTGAAGGTTTCACCATTTCAGAGATTGGCCCCAAACTGCTATATCACCGTGATTATACATTTTGAATTGTTTTTCTTAATAATCATTGGTACAGGTTTCAAGTAAAGACAGTCAGGAGGGTCTTCATTGGTCCAGCAAATTTTACTATTGACAAAACCCTAATAAAGAGGAGGTAAGAGTGGAAAATATGTGGGTCTTTTGTGCTCTGTTCATGATTTGTTTATGTGAAAGTTTCCCTAAAGGATATTTTCCAAGATGTCCTAGCTATTATTTTTATACATCAGGGCCCAGTTCATGTGTCCTTGTGAGTCCTGAGTCCTTGTGGGTCCTTGTCAGTTCAGCTCCAGCCGGGTCACATTCTTTATACTCAAGGACAGGGAATAATGGCTCCAATTTTATTTCCTCAATCGCCTGTCAATGCACCTCATGTGCAGCCACCACCTGTCTGTGAGTGGCAGCTTGTCTTAGGTTGGGTTCTCTAGAGAAGCAAAACCAGTAAAGTGTATAAATATATATATATATCAAGGAAACAGCTCACGTGATTTGTAGAGGCTAGAACATCCCAAGTCCGTGGATCAGGGTAGAGGCCTCTCCCAATTCATGCAGCTGCAGAAGCTGGCGAGCCCAAGATTGGCAGGTTGGAGAGCAGAGCTCCCACTCACAGGCTGTGAAGGTCGACGAATTCCAAGATAGGCAGGCAAGACTGCAAGGTTTCTCCTGATTCATGTAGCTGCAGGGGCTGGCGAACCCAAGACTGGCAGGTCAGAGAGCAGGGCTCCGCTCACAGGCTGTGAAGATCGACGTATCTCAAGCTCGGTAGATAAGCTGACAGCTCAAGTCCCAGGAACCAGAGGTGAGACGACAGGAGTCAGCTGCAGGATCCAGAGTGAGCAAAAAGCCAGAACGTCTGCTTATATTCAGATGCAGGCCACACCCCCAAGGAAACTATCTTTCATATGATTGGCTACTCACAGCACATTCAGTCATGGGAGTGAGCACATAAAAACACTGAGAATTGTGGCCCAGCCAAGCTGACACAATGTTAACCATCACAAGGCTTGTGTGTTGTTATGATGCTAAACAGGTTCAGAGGAGCTTCCAGACTGAGATGGACTAGGAAGAAAGGCCTGGTGATCTACTTCCAAAAATCAACCAGTGAAAACCTGATGAATCACAACAGTCTGATCTGCAACCGATCATGGGGATGGTGCAGGACTAGGCAGAATTTTGTTCAGTCATGCATGGGGTTGCCATGAGTCCGGGGCCAATTGGATGGCAGCTAACAACAGCAATATGTATGGACATGATTACTTTTTTTTGCACTGCTTTTTATTTTCCAGGGAATAAATAATTGGCTTGTTTTTTTTGTTTGGTTAATTAAGATGTCACAAATTTATTTATCCAAATTCTACCCCAAATCCATTACCAGTCCTTTAAATCTCTCGAGATGCTCAGACATGTCAGATATGCCACCAGTTTAATTTTACTGAAGTCTCTCTGGAATTATCTGACCTCCAATGTGGATTATCACCAGCTATGGTCCAAACAGGAGCTCTGGTGGCATAGTGGTTAAGAACTTGGCTGCTAACCAAAAGGTTGGCAGTTCAAATCCACCAGCCACTCCTTGGAAACCCTATGGGGCAACTCTACTCCGTCCTACAGGGTTGCTATGAGTCGGATTCAACTCAATGGCAATGGGTTTGTTTTTTCTTTATGGTCCAGGCATAAGTATCATCCTGAGATGTCCCTTTACCATTATCCTGAATGTTTCTTTTCTTCTCTTTTATGTTGGCTCTATTTCCTATATCTTATATATTCTTTCTTGGATTATGCCCTTGCTTGGGTGGAGCACATCCTCCAGTAGCTACCTGATAAATAATGTAAGGGAGGTAAATTTTAAAGACCTTGCAGGCCTGAAAATGCCACATGATTGATAGTTTGGCTAGGTATATAATTCTATTTTGGAAATCATTTTCTAATTTTGAAGGCTTGCTCCATGAACTTTTTGCTTTGTAGCTTCTTGTGTTTCTGATGAGTCCAGTATTGTTCTTATTCCTGATCCTCTGTATGTGACATGTTCTCTTCTTTTCTGTCTCTAAAAGCTTGTAGGATCTTCTTGTTATCCCTCTTTTCCTGAAAATGTTATTCCTACTATCATATTTCTTATTTGTCAAACATTCCTTTTTGGCTCTTGAATATTCCTTTTTTACAGAATTTTTTTCATGATTGCAATATTTTCTCTTAGATCTGTGAGAATTTCAATGACAGGGTTTTTGTTTTCTAAGTTTTTCTTCCTCCTGTATAGTTGTCATTATTTTTTCTATTGTTGTTATTGTTGGTATTGCTTTGGTTTCTATCCTCAGATATCTGCTCATATTTAAGAATGGAGGGGAAAAGAGCTAAAATGGTAAGGTAGGGACTTCTGAAAATCTTCTCCTCTATAAAGCAACAAGAACATTGGCAAAAATAATCAAATTAAACCTTTCAGAACTCTGGAAATTAATGTATTGCAAAATTTCAAGGAGCATTTATTTAAGAAAAACAGCTGAAAATAGGTAAGAACAGCAAGTTTGTGGTGTTTTAATTTGCCACAAACCTTGCTATGGTGACAGCCAGTACCCTAGCAGCCCCACTGGAGGAGGCAAGATGTCCCATTTCCAGAGACTTGTCACTATTTGACCTGTCGATCAATGAAGCTCGATGAAAGACTG